GCGGACGATATTCTCAGCGTGTTTGGAGTAAACGGGAGATATATCTACGGTATGGACAACGGCGTTGCGCTGAGCACACCACGCATCCCATTTCCGCTGGATCTCCACATCCTCAGCCGGAACCTCGCTGTCCCTCTTCTCTTTCTTTATGCCAGTTTTCTTGATTTCTGGCTGCTCGAGAATATGGCATTGAGAGCGGCGGGGGAGGGCTGGTGGGCGGGTGTTTGCCGCATTTATAGCCCGGGCTAGGTGTAATGTTAATGATCCATGACCCGTTCCCGCTTCGAGTATCTCCAGAGGCTCATCTCGTTCCTCTTCGCTGGCCGGGGGTACGGCATGGATATCCAAGTACGACACTATTAAATTTGCGTCTGCGGGATAAACCTTGTCACCAAGGAAGTCAAAACCGGTAAACTTATTTCTATTCTATCAAGGTAGCTTGCCAAGGAGGGGGCTGTAGTAGCGGGGCTTCTTAATGACATACGGGAGTGACATGACGTGGAGAGAGGACAATATAGTCTTCAAGTGTGGGCTGGGTTATCCTTAACAAGGAGCCTTTTTTAATGTTTTGGAAATTGGTCAGTGGTTATTCCTGGAACAACGTAGGCATTCCATAACGTAATAAAAGATTGATCCATAACAAACCTTTTGTTGTCCTTACAGCATCTCGGGATTGTTTTCCAATAATATCGTCATGTTTTATGGTGCCATTGGCTACAGTTGTTTGGTCGTCCTTCTTCAGCGGTTTGGTTAAGACGGGGTTTTTGGCATTGATAATGACTCTGTCTCCCTCTATAACAATTAATGTATATGGGTTAGCTGAGCTATCTATAGTTTTAGGTATCTCAGGAAAAGGGAGCTAAAAAATACCTTGAAAAACGAAGGTCTTAGAACCTGGTGTTCCGCTGCTATATGTTCGAGTGCAGACGCGGCGCAGGGGCGCAAAGAGTCTTGCCATTCAATTAGAGATTTGAGGAACTAGTAAAATGGACACCGGAGTCGCTCAAAGCAGGGCCCTCAGGCCTATCGTACAAAGAGTAAAATAAAATGAATAAAGGAATATAAATACAGATATAAGGAAAAGGCGATGAAGCATATTAGTTAAGTTTTCGTTGCAGCTCCTCTGCAAAAATATTCAGAGGCCGGGAAATAGTAATCCCGGAGCCGCGCATAACTACCAAAGTTGCCGGGCCTTTTAACTAGTTAGTTAAGTGGTAATTAAGTTAGTTAACCCTTCTGACGCTTGACAAAGACCAAGAACGTCAACTACTGGATCCTATTCATCCACTGGTCTTTGTCACAACCCTGTGCCTCTATCTCTGTCGACGTTGCTCTCTCGGTTTTGAGTTCTATCAGGCTCTTCGGATTTGCACCATGCCCAAGGGTCTCTTACTGACCCCCGATCCCTTGGCAGGCTACTACAATACGGCTTGCTCACTGGTAGCAAGCTGGTAAACCATGGTGACACGTCGAATTGTATGTTACTTGAAAGTCAACTATTATTTGGTCGTGGCCGCATTGCTGATAGTGTATTTGTTCAGGTTCGAACCAGCGTCCAACTGGGCTTGCTGGTTCTCATCATCCTGTTTACCATCTTAATCCTCGACAACCAGCTAGGGCTCTTGCCCGCCTCAATCCACGACCGCCTTCCTACTCATCACCCGGGGCTTGTTGTCACAGATGTTACTGTCGCAACATGCTCGACCCTAAACATATTTTCCAGCTGTACTCTCGATCCGCAGATATGGCATCGAGTCGAGAAGGACCTTTACCTGGGGCAGGGTTGGACGTCGAGAGCTTTTTTGCATATACAAAAGAAAAAAGAGGAGGATCTTCTTCCAACCGATTTGATTGTAGTTGACCTAAAGATGGGGCGACTTGACCCTGGCGCTGGAACAGATTCGAAGTGGGAGTCAAGACCTGCGGGTATCTGGCTTCTGAGAGTCGGTCGAAGCAATACTGGAGACCCACAAAAGGTCATTACCTCGTTGGATGTGCTTTTTGGTCCCGATGCTGCAGATCCTCGTCCCGGCTGGGAAGTGAAGGATACGCCACTTTTGCTGGATACCAACAGTGAAGCACGTTTGACCATTAGAAGGGGTCAAGCTGCCAAAGTTGAACGGCCAGCTCCGAGAATTCGAAAAGATGGGAAATTCAAGATAATGCAGGTTTCAGATCTCCATATTAGCACAGGGCTTGGAAAATGCCGGGATCCTGTCCCACCATTGACCGACGAAAGCAAATGTGAAGCGGATCCTCGTTCCCTGGAATTCCTTGATAGGTTGCTCGACGAGGAAAAGCCCGACTTGGTTGTGTTATCTGGAGACCAAGTTAATGGCGATACAGCGCCCGACACGGAGACAGCAATATATAAATATGCGGACATTTTCATCAAGTACCGTGTCCCGTTTGCCGTTATATTTGGAAATCACGATGACGAGGGTAGTCTAGATCGATCACAGTCTATGGCTGTCCTCCAGCAGTTGCCATACTCCTTGTCTGAGCCTGGACCTGTCGATGTTGATGGCGTGGGCAACTATATCGTTGAAGTTCTCGACCGTACTTCATCACACTCAGCTCTAACACTTTATCTTTTGGACACTCATAGTTACACTCCGGATGAGCGCCAATTCCGTGGATATGATTGGCTAAAGCCCAGCCAGATCAATTGGTTCAAATCCACCTCCCGAAGACTTCAGAAATCCCACCGTGAATACACACATATCCATATGAACCTAGCGTTCATTCACATCCCACTCCCAGAATACCGAAACTCAAAAAACTATTACCAAGGCAACTGGATAGAAGCACCAACAGCACCACTATTTAATTCGGGCTTTAAGGATGCACTAGTTAGTGAGAATGTTGTTGTTGTAGGCTGTGGACAGTAAGTCGTGACCAATAATCACTCCAATACGAGTTATCTCCTCATCATTGGTTTACTCCGGAACTCTATGACTAACACGGTTTCCTGTCTCTTACATTAGTGACCATGTGAACGACTACTGCATGCTAGAAAATAATGCTAATTCACATCCATCGCTGTGGATGTGCTATGCCGGTGGCTCCGGCTTTGGCGGGTATGGTGGATACGGCGGTTACGTCCGCCGAGTTCGATTCTTCGACATCGATATGAACTCTGCTCGAATAATGACCTATAAGCGACTTGAATCTGGTGACACAAAGTCCAGAATTGACGAGATGATGATTGTTGACGGTGGTAAAGTCGTCAAATCATGATTTACCACCCATTAATTGCTTGTTTCCCCTCTAAGGTTGTCTTGCATGACATGTGTACCAAAACATAGGCGTTGGAATCCAAGGTGTTCCCCCCTTTTATTAACTTGTTTCCCACGTTTCATTTCATTACGCTTATGACCTAGGTGATGTAATCTTTGTACCCGTGAAGTCGATTTTCCTGTTCTTTTCTTCCTCTGTTCATGCTATTTGTTTCTCGCTTTGCTAATACCAAATATAATTCCCGTATTCATTATTTCTTTGATTTTCTTCCATCTTTTCCTCCAATTCCTTCTATCCAAAGTCTTAGCATTGCTCCTGAAATCATCTTTGAGTTGTTTCCCTGCTTCCCTACATTTGCCTCGTTTTCATTCCGTTCCTGTTTCCATCTTTCTCTCCCAAAACAGAGGCGGCTTTTTTTAAGACAACACTCTCATTCTGTCTGTGTTTGAGCGTTTACCCTCCCAATTCTCTTTTCTAGACTCCATCCATGGCATTATATGTTCATGAAGAGCTTTATAGTAGGCAACAATTATGATTTCACTCTTTATTACTCCTATTCTTGTAATCATTTATTTCAGCATCCCGTGTTTTGTCTTCCATGTTATTGTGTCTAATGGTCATTCCATTCTATTTCTATCTTCAACTTACAACAGCACCTGTATATGAGGAAGAAAGAAAATAAAGCACTACAGACACAAAAGGCAGCTCAACCAATACCGTCCCCCAATAATTTCCGGCAAGATCAGAAATCCACTCTTCCAACTTACCACCACTTCTCATAGAATATTCTCTTCTCCCCCTCCTCCCCGGTTCCAATGATCTCTTCAGCACCGGCAACAAACTCATCGGTCATACCTGGCGGCCCACAGATATAACATACGGTTCGTTCACCCCGTGAGCTGTATTCGTCTTCAGCAGAGTTCTGTTCCCCCCTGATAACCTCACGTAGATCCGCCATCGTTATGCGGTAATTGTGTAACGAGATATCCCCTGGTGGAACGTAAGGTGTGTTGGGGAGGTTGGTGATATAGAGATGGAGATGGAAGACGGGGGTTTGTTCCCGTTGTTGCTGCTGCCGCAGGTAACGTTGTGAATTGAGAATATTCCGGAGACGTGGAAAGAAGAGTATTTGGTCCAAATGATTCGATACATCTTCACCCTCCTTGGGTGTGGTGGGGAGTCTTGTTGAGTAGAATAGATTGATAGTTGATGAGTGGGGTAATGTCCAAGGGTTTTGGAAGATGTGTGCTAGCATTGAGATTAATGGGCTATATGGTGTGAAGTAGGTTAGCCTCCTCTCTTTGATCATTTTAGGTGTGGTAGCTTTTTCCCCTTGGTTTAACTTTATGGATCAGAGAAAGGGATCTGGACATGATTTTTGGGGCGATTTATTACGACAATGTTTCTGCAAGACGAAATTCCGCTCTCCCACTTTAATACAAAAGGAGTGGTAGAGTAGGCGGAAAGCATCACATCCAAAACCCGCCGAGTAAGAAAGAAAGGATAGGTGAATTAATTATAAAAAAAAGGAAGGAAATATTTTTCGACATACTTAATCCCTACTCCTCCCGCCACAAATACTACCCTCCCAATCTCCTCCAAGGCAATATTAGGTGGCGGCCATACAAACCTTCCACCAACCCGCACCTCCAACTCCTGTCCAAGGATCGCATCCCTGGGCTGCCAAAACCAAGCAGCAGGCGGGCTGGAGAGCGATTTTTGAATAGCGAGTTCTACGTACGGTTCCTCCACGACTGCATTGCTACTTCTGCCACTTCTTGGCGGCAATGCATCCTTGGGCGTGGAGGTTATGGTGAAGCCGCCAGCTTGCGGTATGGAAGGGAGGTAGACATCGAGCCATTGGCCAGGGAGGAATTGGAACAACGGCTGTGACCAAGCGCGATTGGGCTATATGGTGAAAATTGCAGTCCATTATTTGTTGGGTAGAAGTTAACACTCATAATCAACCCTTAGATACATTCCCTCTACATGCAATGACTTGTAGAGCTGGGTACGAATCTGATAAAGGTGGTTCTCAGCATACTTCGTAATCATTCTGTTGAGCTCCCGTATCTTCATAACCACTGGGCCCTACAGCCAGCTGCAAGAGGCGGACGTCTGAGTTTGCCTGTGCTATCTTTGACAGGCGGACTCTATAGAGCCGATTCTGCCTTGGTTCCTCTGAGGTGCGCAGTTCGTGTGGAGCCCTGGCGGTGCTTAAAAGAATCTTTCCTTCCTGATTGAAAGCTTGAGAATGTCTTGGTGTAGACATGAATGCTGAATGCGTATGTGTCAGGGAAACTGATTGACTAGGTGGTTCAATCAACCAGATGATGGATTACATTAATCAACTATTAATTAATACTCAACTTATAACCAGTTAACGAGTTATTGAAGGGAGAGCCAGCTATACACTATGTGCGATCACGTGCGCGGGGTGATGGCCCTAGCAATTCTCAGCTCATGACAGGCAGAGGATCCCATTGTATTTTTAGATATGTACATTCGAAGCATTATATATATCGACGGCGGGTTGGTAACCTCAAATATTGCAGTTGCTTGCATGAACATGGAGGAAATCTTCTTGAATTGATAGGACAGCGACCAGCTGATCTCACATCATCATCTCCAAATATGGATCTGTGGGCAAGGGACCAAGGCCGACGGGGCTGTTCAGAACCCGCAGAAAGAATCCAGAACATTTGAATTGAGCATCGT